TGTGTGTGTGTGTGTGTGTGTGTGTGTGTGTGTGTGTGTGTGTGTGTAAATGCTGCATACATGGGATCAGAGCTTTTGGCTGCAGGCCAAGTCTAGAAAAAAGCCTTAGTGCTATGATCCTGGGATGCAGGCTGGGGTACCAGGTTGACCTCAGACCTATAACTTCTCCTGATGGGGCCAAAGGAAGCCCAGTGTGAGTGGGGAGTGGAGAGGTCAGTGTTTAAGTCACTTGAAGACTGGGATAACGAGGAACTGTCTCTGATCCCCTCATGTCAGGAAGGTCCCCAAGAAAGCCAACCCACTCAGCCATTTCCCTAGAAATGGATTACTCCTTGAGGATGTGGGGATGGTGACTCCCATGTGCTTCAGTCTTTCCCCCATCCCAACTTCAGGATCTCAGTTCCCCAGATTCCAGTCTTCCTCCAATACAACCAAGATCCCAGATTTCTTTCATCCTACCTCCCCCAAGATCTCAGCCTCCCCCTGTCCCTGGAGAAAGGAAGTGACTTTCAGAAGGTCCTTTTAGTCAGGTCAGCTCACCTCCTTCCTTCAGTCTCTCCACTGTACCCCTGAGCTTACTTTCACTCTCATCTCTCCCCAGTCTCCACTACCTAGAATTGAGCTTCCCTAGATTCCAGCCCCCAAATAATAGGTTTTTCAAATTTATCTAATCAATACCAGCCCACAGATCCCAGCCCCTCCAATTTTGGTTTCCCCAGATAGCAGCCTCCAAGATCTAAGTCTCCCCCAAAGTCCAATCTCGTATCACAATATCCCCAGCTCCCAGCTCCCAGTCTCTTCCATTCCAGTTGCAAGGATCCTAGTTTCCTCAGCTCTAAGTCCTCTTAATTCCAACCCCTCAGATTTCAGTCTCTCAGATTCTATCCCTTCCCTTTTCCTTCTTGGGTCCCCTGGGGTCTCACAGTCCACACCCCTCCCTGGCCTCATCAAACATGGGGCTCTGGTTTCTTAATGCTAGGCTTTATGGAGGGACTATTAGAATACCAAGTCAGCTGGGCATTAGGGGTGGGGAAAGGGGGAGAGTAAGCTTGGCTAGTGTCCTAGATGGCCCCCTAGGACGTGATGGACGTGGCGTATGAGAAGACTGGCGTCAGATCATGTTGGATTTTTTGTTTTTTTTAATCAACAAGCATTTTTTTTCTCTACTCCCTCCCCTCCCCAATTAAAAAAGAAAAACAAACCCCTAGTAACCAATATTCGTGGTCAAGCAAAACATTCTCGTGTCGTCCATCTCCAAAAATGTAGCCCCAGCTCATGTTTAAGCATCGGATCCTCCGTGACTTGGCTGAAAAGTCAACGTCCTGGCTTTTGGGAAACTTAGCCCTCTCTCACTTTCCTGCTTTCAGGAGGCTGACCCCCTCCCCAACCCCACACTGGGCTGGGCTGAGAAATCCTAGGTTAAGTGGAGGGTGGGGAGGGAGCTGTTTTTGTTGGCTAAGAACTAGCAGGATGCAGGCTCAGGTGGGTCTGGGAGGGTTCGGGGGAGAACAAGCAGAGACTCTGGGGTAGGGGCTTGGGGAAACTACTAGGGTAGAGGTTCTCTTCTCTCTTCCTCACTGGTACGCATGCCAGAGTCTTGCCCTTGCCTGGTGTGGTAGTCTTCGGGTGGTAGGAGAGAACATTGCCATATAAGTGGTTCTCTGTGGAGAGACACAGAAGAATGTCTTAGTCCAAAGACCTTTCTCTAGGGCTAACTTTGGGGGTTCTGTTTCAGTTTCCCAACCATCTTCTCCTGCTCTGAACCATCCCCCCATCTCCAACATCAGGAACATGACCTGTGTGGATGCAGCTCTCTCTGAGGGTAGAGAATCCCTTTGGGAAGGTAAATTAGGGAGCAGAGTAAATTGGATCAATAAGAAGTAGCTGTTGGGACAGCTAGGTGGTGAAGTGGATAGAGCACCGGCCCTGGAGTCAGGAGGACCTGAGTTCTCAGACCATATGCTTGACACTTTCTAGCTGTGTGACCTGGGCAAGTCACTTAACCCCAATTGCCTTTAAAAAAAAAAAAAGTAGCTATGGATCAGGTTTGAGTGTCTTCCCTCTTTTCTCCATCAGGGGCTGAGAACACAGTTTTCTAATGTACTCAGACGGACTGAGGCCACTTGTAGGGCCTGACCAGGGCCCTGGGATGGAGAAGTGCAAGAGGGAAACCGTGTAACCCTGGGGCCTGCCCTGGTCCTGGGGGACTACGTACCAGAGTCTCTGCTTCTGCTAAGGAATCGCCAGATCATTTTCCCCAATGCAGCCCCGAATCCCACTATGACACTTGCCACCAGCAGCCATAAGAGAAGACCTTGAGAAGACATGGGCAGAAATGATAGGAGATTCCACAGAAAGGCAGTGGAGAGGTTGTGAAGAGGGGAGGGAGGACAATGAGAAGCAGAGGTGCTGTGGAAAGAACCATGGGTTGGGAATCAGGAGACCTTGGTTTAAACCCTCCACCTCTGCCTTTGCCTCACTGCAAGACCTTTGGCAAATCCACCTTCCTCTCCAGGTGGTTTCTAGGGCCCCTCTCCTCCTAGCTCTAAGGTCCCTCCCAGCCTTGGCATTCTATACTCCAAGGACCCTTCCAGCTCTCACAATCTATGTTCTGTGTCCTACTTGGGAAAGTATAATGATGATGACAATGACAGCAAGCTAATTAATAGAGATCATCTCATAGGGAAAAGGGAGGGTCTGGGGACAGGAACAGGGAGACATTAGGATGGGGATTGCCCCTACCTTGAGAGACTTTGATCCAGCTGCCTTTGACGGAATCTGCAGAGACAGAAATATCTATAGTTGAGTCTCCCATGGTGTTCTTCTCCGGAGGGGCTTTGAGCTTTTAACAGTTTTGTTTCTCCCCCTTCCCTTCCCTCTGGGGAACGGAACCTGGACCCTCTGTGTGATCACTAAGGCTTCTGAGATTTCAGAGGTCCATAATCCACTGGGGAGGGGTGGCACACATAGTTCCCTAAACTGGTTATAATGTTAACATATCTCTGAAAGTTGCTGAGTCCTCCACTACCCTCTCTACTCCACTCCTATACCTAGTAAGAAATATTATTCCCCTCCCACCCAAGTTGGGAGATGATTTCTGTCTCTAGGGAATCCTGGGATGTTTACCCGTACAAGGCCGTGTGTGTGTGTGTGTGTGTGTGTGTGTGTGTGTGTGTGTGTGTGTG